CATCCTCATCTTCTTTCCTGTCTACTTCAGAGGTGTCAGAGGACTCATGCAGCAGAACATACTCTCTGCTGCTGAACCCAAATTTAAGTACATCTTTTTCCTTCAGTTCGTAGTATCTCTGTGGCTCAATGCGCTTGTTATTCAAGAATGTTCCGTTGCCTGAACCAAGGTCAATGATGTAGGGCTTCACCCTGCGGCCAACTGTCCCATCAGCACGGGTGTATTCCACAAGCCTGGAAGAGATAAGAGAGAAGCCTCAGGGGGGTGAGGGTAGGTAGAGGAGGATATGGGGGGGATAATGGTGATGGAAGACTTGACATAGGGTGGTGAATACACAATACAATATATAGATGATGTATTATAGAACTGTACACCTGAAACCTATAATTTTATTAACCAGTCACCCCCATAAGTTCAATATAAAAAAGAAAAAAAGAGAGAAAACTGTGGACCAAATCTTGCCTCAGATCATCCAGCTTTTTGTTAACAAAGTCTAGATGTGGTAAATACCTGGCTTCAATACAGCTCAAGTTCAAACTAAGAAACAAGGAGAAGACATGACCTTAAATCTAGAAATTAGGAGCAAGTTAAATAATACTTCGTAAAAAGGTGAGACCTGGTACTTGGTGGATAGGAAATTCATGGTAAATCAAAAGCTTAAAATGCAGCCCTTGCCGGGTAACGTAGTTGGTTAGAGCATTGTCCTGATATGTGAAGGTCATGGGTTCCATCCCCAATCAGGTTGCACATAAGAATTAACCAATGAATGCATAAATAAATGGAACAACAAATCAATGTTTCTCTCTCCCTTTCGCTCTCTAAAATCAATCAATAAATTTGCCATAATTAAAATTTTTTGGGTTGTTTATAACTTCAAAGTTAAGGGCACTAGATTTGAGCCAGAGTTCTATTACGGGGACCACTTAAGGCAAGTCACTTGGCTTTGCTGAACGTGAGTCTTCTCACCTGTCAGATGGGGGCATTAGTACCTATGCTATCCACCTAACAGGATTGATGGGAGGATCAAACCATAGCAGATGTACTATGCAAACTGTCAAGATACAGACACAGCCAACACATTCTCAATTATATTTCCATTTAACAACCCTGTGAGGTAGGTAGAAACTGAGGCCCAGAGAGTGGCTTCTCCCAGGTCAAACACCTGGCAAGTGGGAGTGGCAGGATTCCCAACACCAAGTTCAATGCTCTTACATAAATATAAGTAATCATTTAAAAGGTAATTAGATTAATAGTCAAGACGAATATTAGGTATAAGGGGTACGGATTCTTTTGCATATACATGCACACAAAACTTAGTAATCCTGAGACACTAGCTTCTGCTCACACTTGACCTTCTTTCTGCAAATGCACTTACCTATACTGAAAGACCGCGTGCTGCTTTGAACAAGAGGGATGATCGATTGGAATGTCTGCAATACGGCGGTGTCGCCCCAGGAGGTAAGCGCTCTGTCGATGAATGTACATGATCGGAAGCACCTCATCATTTTTAAATGGGTAGAGACGCCACCGTTTTTTAGGGATACGTGCTTCGGGGGGCTCGCTATATTTAATGACTACACCTCGGAAGGTGTTCGTGTCCTCAAGAAGTGCCCCAGAAAGTTCAAAGCTTGGCTTTTCCTTGACGGGCACCTCTTTGTTTTTGTTGTTGCCACTAGGTGGAGGAACCAACTCCTGAGACTCATTACCGCTGGTACTGACTTCATTCTTTTGGCGATGCTCCCGCCTTCGGGCATTATAAAACTCCCGCTCTGCTTCCTGAGCCGGCAGGTTCTGAAGGTCTCGATCACGTCCCTGAGCCGGCCCACTCCCAGGTCTCTCATTAGAGGTTCTCCTCTGGTGGGAGTGGCCCCTGTGCCTGCCTCGGTCACTATTCCTCGCTCGCCTGTGCTCCTGTTCTGATGCTTCCCGGTGCTGCCGATCTTCCCGTTCTCTCCGGGGTGGATGATCTTCACGCTCCTGAAATTTGAGCAGACTCAGTAAATTCAAGGCAGTCCAAAATCTATGAACAAGCTGCATTCAAAAAGTCATTTGTGATTTGGACTTTGGCATTCAAGAGCAAAATGCCGCCCAGCCAGCCTGGCTCAGTGGTTGAGCTTCTGCTATGAACTACGAGGTCATGGTTCAATTCCCAGTCAGGGCATATATGCCCAGGTTGCAGACTCAATCCCCAGCCGATCAATGATTCTCATCATTGATGTTTCTATCTCCCTTCCTCTCTGAAATCAATAAAAAAATATATATATTGTAAAAGCAAAATGCCCCACAGAAATAAGGTTATCAGTGGTGGTTATGTTTCCATGAAAGGCCACACTGACTGTGTATCCCATGCTGTTGCCCAATTATAGCTCTAACAGTGCCAGCCCATGTTCAGAGCTCTAGAAACAAGAGTGCCTGCAGGCAAACTTAAAAGGGATCCTATACAGAAAATAGAACTAACAAAGAGAGCTAACTAGTCACAAACAGGATAAATGTGTAAAGAAAAAGCTAGCTTTCTCCTATGCCAACAGTTTAAAAATGTCTCATTTCAACAGTAACAAAAATTACTCAATACCTAGGAATACACTTAAGAAATATGTAAGATCTGCCCGGGATCAATTGGTTGAAGCAGCATCCCCTGCACCAGAAGATACCGTTTGATTCCCAGTCAGGGCATATTTTTATGTCTTGACTATATAGAGGTCACCACTGCAAGAAACAAGGTAAAGAGTATACGCCTATATTAGTTTTACAACTACAGGCATATACTCTCTTTCATTCAACAAAAAAGCAGATAAAAAAAGTCACCCAGTTTTGAGAAAATCCCATGGCAGATGCAGGTGAATATATGCACAATACTTTAGCGATGGTGGTAACAGGCTCTAGATTCAGACCCAGCACCAGAACATCTCAATCCACTTACCTGCTTCACTTTGACTGTCGAGTGGTGAGGGCTTCGGCTTCTGTTACTCCGAGGAGACTTGCTTCTTCTCCCTGAGGACTTTTTCTTTTTGGCTGGGGATCTGTTAAGAGAATGGCACACACAGGATTTTATCTCCATTTCCCTCCCCCATGTAAATTACCTTCAAGTATAAGGTTTGTGAAGGTCTCTGCTTTTCACACTACAGGAGTCAGGAGCTTCACCTTCCTGGCCCACAGTCTCCCCTGAGTTCCAGACCCACAGACATAACTGCCTACTAAACCTTCTCACACTTAGATAACATAACTCTTGATTCCCGACCCCTTAAAACGTTTCCTCTCTCAGTCTTTGCCATGTCAGTGGCACTACCAACCACCCTGCTCAAGCCAAAAACCTAGAAGTCATCCTTGACCCCTTTTTCCCCTCACCAACAGCGTCCACACCCCTCCCCCAGTCACGTTCAACCCATCAGCAAGTCCTCTGCCGTCTCCTCCCTCTCCTACCTCATTCCAACCACTCTCCTTGATCACCACACTGGATTTTTTTCTATTCCTAAGACAATCACAATTGTCCGGGCCAGGTAGCTCAGGTGGTTAGCGTGTCATCCAAATACACCAAGGCTGCAGGTCCCATCCCAGCCAGGACACATACAAAAGTCAACCACTGTATGCATAAATAAGTGGAACAAAAATCGATGTTTCTCCCTCTCTCTCCCTTCCTCCCTCTCTAAACCAATCAATAAAAATAAATAAGCCCTTCCTCAGTGGATAGAGCGTCGGCCTGTGGACTGAAGGGTCCCAGGTAGGATTCCAAACAAGGGCAAGTACCTTGGTTGAGGGCACATCCCCAGTGGCGGGTGTGCAGGAGGCAGCTGATCCGACGTTTCTCTCTTATCGATGTTTCTATCCCTCTCCCTTCCTCTCTGTAAAAAAAATCAGTAAAATATGTTTAAATAAATAAATAAATAAAAAATAAGACAATCAGAACTGATTCCATTACAGGTTCTTTGCACACATTGTTTCCCCTGCCTGGGTCTTATCATTCAGGTCTCAGCTCAACTGGCACCTTTTCAAAGCAGCCTTCTCCCACTTCCCTCCAATCTCTGTCACATTAAATGTTTTAACCTACTCGTAATACTTGTTACTAACAAACTATTTTCTTTATTTGCTAGCTATTTTGTCTCAGGGTCAGAGGACATCAATTCAAGAGGGTAATGTCCATCTATCTTTCATTTTATTTTTGGGAGAGAGAGGGAGGAAGAGGAGGAGAGACATCGATTTGTTGTTCCACGTACTTATACCATCCACTGGTTGGTTCTTGTGCCCTGACCCGGGATCCAGCGGAACCACACGAGGCTCTCACCGGTACCCGGGCAGTCTTCAGCACATGACAGGTACTCAGTAAAACTATGTGGAACGAATAAATGAACGCGCCTAGCAAGACAACCCTGGGCGCTCCATGTGGAAACCTTTGGGCGCAGATCATTAGAAAGACACCGCCCACACTCCATTCGCAGGCAGATGGGGAAAACCTTTCGTTTCAACTTAAAATGATCCTTGCTGGCCGCTAAGTGCTGGGCACACAGACCCGAAGGGGTGGGATCCTGTCCACTAGGCCCTTCACGCGCAGCGACAACGCTAGTGACAACTCAACAATAACACCAGCACCGCCGGTACTTGGACCGGTACGGCCAGCCCTGCGCTCCGCATTCAAAGTGTGTTTCTAACGCCGCCGGCCCGCCCCGCGGCTTCCCACTCACCGGCTACGTCTCTGCGCTCGGTTCCCGCGGTGACCAGGGCGGCCCGGCTCGCCGGCCGGCGGGGACGCGCTGCCGCCGGAGTCCGGGCGGCGGTGAGCGGGAGGCGCGGCCTCGGGGCTGAGGCGCTCTTGCTTCACCACCACCGTCGCCGCCGTCGCCGTCGCCACCGCGTCCTCGTCCCGGTGCCTGCGCCGGCTCCCCCGCTCCCGCTCGCTCTTCACCTCTTTCATGATGCGATATCCGCGGAGCGCAGGGGAAACTCGGCCGTTGCACTCCCCTCGTAGACAGGAAATGACGTGCCAGACCCCGGGACTTCCGCTCTTGGAGTACACGCTCTCCCAGAAACCCTCGCGATGCAGAGGCTAAACACGTGACGACTCTGTTGTGGGCGGGGCCTTCAGGACGCAGCTCGGGCGGCGGGAGTTTCAAGTTTCAAAAACCAACTCCTGGGAAAAAGCTATGCTCCAAGCTGTTGCCGCGTCATTAGTCCTTCCTAAACCCCGAGACAACCGAAAAGCTCAGCAGTCGGGCATTTAGCCAACGGATGGATGTTATATCGCCATTTGCAATGCTATCTACAAACTCTATTATGACAAAAACAAAACAAAACCCAGACGTTAAGCGAAAGAAAGAGGATACAAAGTTGTGCGCAAACTGTGCTTACATTTATGTTTGGAAATGCGAAAGCAAGAAGGGAGTAAATGCAATCATTGATAGTATACCGTGGGCAAACCATTAGTATTTCTCCAACTGTTACGTTGTCTCTTCGCCACTTAATTAAAGACAATTGATTTTTAAAACCTGGGAACTCCAGATGTCTTCCTCTATGACTCCCGCTTTGCAGATGACAAAATCGGGAGTCAGAGAAGGTGATCTGCCACCTCACTCAAATTGCGAGCTAAGCGTGGCACAGGAACGCGAGCCCGTTTTCCCTACTTCCAAGAGCAGAGGAGCGACCCGATGAGCAGGAAGCCTGCCTGCCGAGCTAAGCAAGGAAGAACCTTACCCGGAAGCTGCGCCGAGAGAAACTCGCGCGATGCTGGCCCCGCCCAACTCCAAAGCCCCGCCCAGGCCTGGAGGCAGGGAGGCGAGGTTTCCATGGTGACAGTAAACAAGGCCCTGCCTTTGAGGGGCTATTGCTGGGCTACTCGCCGGCACCATGATTCCCCCCGCGGACTCTTTACTCAAGTATGACACCCCGGTGCTGGTGAGCCGGAATACAGAGAAACGGAGCCCCAAAGTAAGGATGGGTCTCAGGGGGGCAGGGGAACCCCGGAACTCCTATGGGGAAAGACAGATGCCTGCGTTGAAGATCCGGAGTCCCAAGAAATAGAGGCTGAAGCAACTGAGAGTAAAGAGAATTGGGATAGGGAAAGGAGGATAGGAGAGCGGAACCAGAAGCCCAGATGTTGGGCCACTCCAGAGGGTAAATTTAGGACGGGAAAAGAAGTCACAGGGAGATGAATGAGATTCGCCGTTTTTCATGGTAGCCGGTGCAAGAATAGATCTGGTGGCGAAAGCCGAGGCCTGAGCACCCGGGCCAGAAACATCGGTTCAAGGAGATACAAGCGTTGGATTGGGGTGGGCCCAGAGACTCTTGGCTTCCTTTAGCTCTGAGACATAACTTCTGCTGAGAAGACAGATGGGGAAATTGTGTGGGAGACCTGGAGCAAGGACCAGGTGCTTAGTATCAGTATCACCTCCTGCCCTAATGTGTCTCTTCCTCCCAGGCTCGGCCATTGAAAGTCACCCCCCAGCAGCCTGGACCCTCAGGTCCAGTCCCACCGCCAACCAAGACCAAGCTCTCAATTTCCTGTGTCCCAGATCCTACAAAGCAGGCAGAAGAAATCTTGAATGCTATCCTGCCACCAAGGTAAGAGAAAAAAAAAAAAACTAAAAAAAAATAAATAAATAAGCAGGGGTAGTGGCTAGGAGAAGGCCCAGGCTTTTGCATCCCAGAACTTGGGAACATGGCAAGAGGCACGCTGTCTCTGTTCCTGGCTGATCTTTCCTCCCAGTGTCTCTGAGTTCCTAGAGCTTACAGATGGCTGGATCCTGGGAAGGTGGGGCTACCTTGTTCTCTATCTACCCTCATTTCCAGAGTGCTCATGGCTTTAAATACCATCTATGTGCTGAGGCTCCCAAATGTATATTTCCAGATCTGTCCTCTCCTCTAAACTCCAGAGCCATATATTCTGCTACTGCTTTCCTACCTTCATGGAGATGTTAATAGGGCACTCAAGCCACCCCATCCACTTCGCTCAACATGTTCAACCTTAGCTGGGTTTCTCAGTGGTTAGAGCATTGGCCTGTGAACCAAAGGGTCTCAGGTTCAATTTTTGGTAAGGGTATGTACCTCGTTTGCAGGTTTCCCAGCCCTGGTAGTGGCACGTGTGGGAGGCAATGAATCGATGTCTCTCACGTTGATATTTCTCTCTCTCTTTCTCTCCTTCTTTCCTCCCTTCCACTCTCTCTAGAAATCAATGGAAAAAATATCTTTGGGTGAGGATTTAAAAAAAAACAAAACACCTCAACATGTCCAAACTCATAATTTCTTCCTTACCCCAACCTGCTCATCCTGTCTTCCCTTTCTATTAGGGGCTCAGGCCACCTCTCATCCCTCTTGGTCTTTCACATCACAGATGCTATCCTTGATTGATTTCTTTTGGCCCCACCTTGAAATCATATCCCAAATCTGACCATTTTTCGCCAGCTCTGCTTCCATCATCTTGTTTCTAGTCACTGTTCATCACCTGTACTACTGCAGTGGCCTCCCACTGCAAACCTGGCTTCCACTCTTTGCCCCTACAATCTATGCTCCACACAGCCCCCAAATCATAAGTCAGACCATGCCAGGCTTCTGCCAGAAACTCATGGCTTCCCATCTTATCAGACCAAAACCCACAGTCTTTTCAGTGGTCTGTGAGACCTGGGATGATCCCGCCCCAACATACTCGTGATCTTATCTCCTGTCATTTTCTTTCTTGTTCACGGTGCTAAAGCCACAGGGGCCACTGCTTGCTGTCTCGGAATCACTTCGCTCTTCCACCTCGGGGCCTTGACAACTGATATTCTTACTGCCAAGGGTACTCTTGCCCGAATATTCACCTGGTTCCCGTCCTTCCTTTACTCTGGTCTTGTTCAAATGCCATTTCTTCAAGGAGGACTTCCTTGAGAATCCTCATAAAAGAGCTCCTTCTCCCTCCATGATCCCCTTACTCTGCTTCTTTCTTCTGCAGCCACACTTATCCCTCGCTGATGTGCCTTTTCCACTATTTTTTATATAATCCGTTGACAGCACAGTTTTAAGGCTCTGATGAAACGAGAGCCTGCAATTTCCTCTCAGGTGGAAGTCAAAGAAAGGGGAAGGGTTGATTTTCCTGCGGATTCCTTCCCACCACGGCATGGAAGTCCTCTCCCCCATGGTGATTCTGCCCTTAGGCTCCCTCCTTGTGATTCTAGAACAGAGGTCCTCAAACTTTTTAAACAGGGGGCCAGTTCACTGTCCCTCAGACATTCCACACATGCGCACTGTGGGCCCGGGACGAGTTGGCTGCTAAGCAGGACAGGCAGCGTCGGCAAAAACACCCGGCGGGCCGGATAAATGTTTTCGGCGGGCCGCATGTGGCCCGCGGGCCGTAGTTTGAGGACCCCTGTTCTAGAACCTGGCCATGCCTCTGACCCAAGGTTTGCTATGAGGAGCTACATGCCTTTAAGAACGTCCCTACCCCCCACTGCACACATGACCCTCTTTCTGACTGGCACATGGTTTATGGTGCCGTGTCTCCCACCCCACAAGTCAGTGGGCAATTTCCACTGGGCCTTCTGTTCATATCAAGCAACAACCATACATTTGTCCTGGACACATTAGGAGGGTAAGATCTGGAGCATGGGTGATGATTTCAGAGGGCTGGAGGAGAGTGGAGCTTGCCCAGCCCCGAGAGAGGGGCCCTGTGGAGGCAGCTGAGTGGGTGTGGCTTTGGGGCCACACACTCCCCAAGGAAGAAGGAAGAATGGGGGATCCTGATAGGTTGGTGACAGAGCTGCCCCTCACTCCTGCCCAGGCAGAGAGCTCAGAGGGCCATCTCTGCTCATGTCCTGAGGACCCTCTCTGGCGATGGGTTTCTCTCAGCCTGGCTGTGTCTGTGCCGCAGGGAGTGGGTGGAAGACACACAGCTATGGATCCAGCAGGTGTCCAGCACGCCCAGCACCCGGATGGATGTGGTGCACCTTCAGGAGCAGCTGGACCTGAAGCTGCAGCAGCGGCAGGCCCGGGAGACTGGTATCTGCCCTGTCCGCCGGGAGCTCTACTCACAGTGTTTTGGTGCGTGGCCAGGGGGAAGGGTGCACTACACTCTGCTACCTCTTTCTCTTCCCCTTCAGCACAGCCCCAAGCTCTGAGTATCCCTGAGCTGAAGCCCACCCCATCCTGAAATCATCTGTGCCCCACTCCCTGTCTCCCCCTGGATCCGCTAAATGCACCCTCTTCTCCCTCCCAGCCCTGCCTCTCCCACCAGTCCCCCCCACTTGCCGGTCAACCTGACAACTTGGTTCCTCACCTCTTAGCAGATATTGGAGTAAATGAGAACTTCCATTATAAATCTTTGTTTTCTTTCAAAGATTTCTATAATAAGCATGTGTTAATTTTTTAATCAGAAAAATTAATGTGCTATATTTATATCCCTCTATCAACATTCAGCCCTTGGTCCAGAAAGCACTTCAGGGTAATTTGCTGTTAACAGACAGAGGATTTAAGTTCTCCCTCCTCAAGTGCAGGTGTGAGTGGCTGTCCTCTGCCCAATGTCACTGGCCCACATGGACGGGGACATGCAAACCACCGCCAAACCCTGAGGCAGCTGCAAGGGCTACAGGCTGCCTGCGGTCTGAGTGTGATGGTGGTTTGTCCCCCAGGACAGCATTTATGGAGGAGAGGGGTGGGCAAGCTGTGGACTGTGCTGTTTCCAGCCCCAAACCAGCCCAGCCAAGGAGACATGTGGGATTTCCCAGCTGCTTCAAAGCGGCCACTATCTTCCAATTGAAAAGTCAGGTTTCTTTGAATAGTACCCAGTCCCTGGCTGAAGATGGAAGAGAGGGGCCTCATGCTGCAAGCAAACCTGGGGCTCCTGTCTCCTTCTGCCCTGGGCTTGCCGACTGCCAAACTCCCAAGTGCCAAGTTCAGAGCAGTGGCTACATGGCAAGGCTCCTGGGACCACTGAAGTCCCCTCCCTGAGATCTGTCTCCAAGTGAGGACACCTTCCCATAGGAAGGGTGGTTTGCAGTAGACAGGTGTATTTCCACTCCCCCCCACACCCCCACACCCCCGACCACCTTCTCTGACCTCTGTGTGTGTGTGCATTGGAAGATGAGCTGATTCGTGAGGTCACCATCAACTGTGCGGAGAGGGGGCTGCTGCTGCTGCGAGTCCGGGACGAGATCCGCATGACCATCGCTGCCTACCAGACCTTGTACGAGAGCAGCGTGGCGTTTGGCATGAGGAAGGCACTGCAGGCTGAACAGGGGAAGTCAGACATGGAGAGGAAAGTGAGTGGGGTTTACACAAGCCTTTGGCCCTGGACTCCTCTGTCTCGGGGTCACATGGTTGTCATTCTGGCACCACAGGCTGGCCTCCTAGGGTGCTCTCCATCACCTCAGTGAGGACCCTTGGTTCAGAGCGTAAGGGGCGCCGCGGGGTTGTCTCCTCTTGGACGTGCCGTGTCAGGCACTGACCTCCCACTGGGTGGCAGTACAGACCCTGCCAATGTCTCGGGTTGGACAGTGTGTTCCAGGGCCCCTCCACCAGGGCACTCAAGCCGCCCCATCCACTTGGCAACGTCCCAGGATGACTGGGGTTCTGTCCTCAGATTACAGAGTTAGAAACGGAAAAGAGAGACTTGGAGAGGCAAGTCAACGAGCAGAAGGCAAAGTGTGAGGCCACGGAGAAGCGGGAGAGTGAGAGGAGACAGGTGGAGGAGAAGAAGCACAATGAGGAAATTCAGTTCCTGAAGCGGACGAATCAGCAGCTGAAGGTAATCATCACACAGACCCGGGTGGAGGTGCAGGTCCACCCGCCCTCCAAGCCACAGAGGCCAAGCCTTTGGTTCTTTTTCCTACGGATGGCTATTGTAAAATCCTCACTGGAGGACACTTTTTCCTTGATTTTTAGAGAATGAAATGGGGGGGGGGGGGAGATATCTCACATGGACTCATTGCCTCCCACACGCCCTGACCCAGGCTGGGGATCAAACCTACGACCCTTCAGTCCGAGGGCCAACACTAACCATTGACCTAAACCGCCCAGGGTCAGATGACTTTAAATACCATCTATATGCGCTACCCAGGAGTAAAGGAAGCTGACTTTTTTGGGGAGGAAAGGGGGTGAGTGAGGGACGATGAGGGTTCATTACCCAGATTCTCCATTCTTCTGGTTCTGGAGGGGGCTCTGTTCTTAACTCTGAATCCCCGTGATCCCTCAGACTGGCTCTGCAGTGTTTTTTCCCCTTGGAAAACAGTTGCCCATTCTTGGGAGGGTGGATATGGCAGAAAGCAGAACTTCCTCCCCAAGGCAGCTGGTGTCTGGCCCTTCCTAGAGTGGGCGGAGCTCTCAGTGCTTTCCCACCTGCCGTCAGTCCCCGCCTAGACCCTGCATTGGGGGCAGGCAGGGAAGGCCCTTTGAGACAGAAGAACCGTTTCAAACCAGGATGTGTGGTCAGAGGAACTCGTGTTTTCCCTCAAAGCCCTCTTGCAGGTGTATACTTTTATCCAGCTGAGCTGGAGGGAAGGGAAGGGGGGCTGGTGAAGAAAAGGGCCGAGCAGGGGCCAGGCCTCTGAAACTCCAGGCTGTCTGGTCCAAAAGTTCTCAAAGACTGGATTCCAGCCCTGGCCAGTGTGGCGCAGTTGGAGCATCATCCTATACACTGAAAGGTTGTGGGTTCGATCCCTGGTCGGGTGCATATGGGAAGGCAACCGATCAATGTTTCTCTCTCACATCGGTGTTTCTCTCTCTCTTCCCCCTCTCTAAAATGAAGAATGTCCATAAGTGAGGATTTTTTTAAAAGGTTGGATTCCAGACCAGCATTATTCTCATCACAGATGATTGGGCCCGTGCCAGATCTACCGAGTCAGAAACTTTGGGGTTGGGGGTCCAACAATCTGTTCTAACAAGGTCTCCAAGTGATTCTGATGCTTGCTAAAGCTCGAGAACCACTGTTCTAGATATAGGGCCGACTGACATTTAGTGGCTGTCTCCCATGGCCCTTGGCCAGAAGGGGCCCCTGAATTTTTCTCCCTCTCCACCCTAGTCTCATAGAAAACTTACATTCTTGGGATTGGTAGGCTTGTTGGCACTACAAACCAAGACAGGCACTTGAGATAAAGAAGGGCTTGTATTAGTGGCTAGTGCTAGTGCAGGATGACACAGATTTTCTCGTTGCTGCGTTTAACAACAAAAAAGCTACAAACGTTCACTGCCAGATGTGCATGTTTACTTAGCAGCCTCTGAAGCTGCCTCCCTTATCTCCTTTACCCTAAGCCCAAGTTCCTCAGTTCCTCTATAGTACTGGCAGCAAGAGCAAAGCAGAGCACCTTGGCATCTCTCTAACATTAACAAGCAACGCTGTAATCCCCAGGGTGAAGGACTCTTTAGAAGTGAGTTATTTTTATTGGCTCAAAACTGCACTGCAAATAAAGCAGTGTTTGCAGTCCCCAGGATAGACCTACTTAAAGATCTGTCCACACACCATGATAGTAAATTATGTTACTGGCTGCCAGAGGAGCAGAGCAAATAACTCCCAAGTGTCTTCGGCTCTACATGCAAGACAGACAGCTCCCTACTCACTGGTAGCAATTTTCTCTAATTGGGTGTCAAGTTGTCTCAGTGGCTGAAAATTTGCTGTTTCCCAAACCTCTTGTCCCAGCACAGAGCTCCCAGGATCCCAAAGTTTAACTTAGCAGACATATTCAGGCCTGAAATCTGAGCCATGAAAAACCACTATTTCAACAACTTTGATTCAATTTCCTTTTCACTGCTTTATATTATGCACTGAGCCATTATGGTATGGAAACCAGGACAGCTCTGGTTTCTCCTAATGTAGCAAGACAGTATGTCAAGCCAGAAACCAGCTAATCTAGAAAATATGGAGCTGGGGATGAAGCGGGGGAGGGGTTTTTGGAGTGGCAGCATTGGGATTATCCTTCCCAGAGACTTTTATCACCTCTCAGCTATTTGTGTTAGGCTGCAAGTTTTAAATATTAATGGAGTTTGTTTTTGCTTTGCAGGCCCAACTGGAAGGCATTATTGCACCAAAGAAGTGATAATTTCCATATGGGTCCCACAAACACGACTACCCCATCGTAAGCCCTTTGTAATAAAAAGCTAGTTTCCTAAATGAACAAGCCATACGCTCCCCTGATCACCACCTACATATTTGTCAGAAGTCACACCATTGACCCAGTGTCATGAAACACCTAAGTCTGGCAGCCAGGCTCCTGGTTGGGCAATGGAAGGTGGTGAGGCCCAGGCAGTCTGTCTCTGGCCAGCCTTGGGATTTGCCAACTCAAATAGTAAGACTTAGCATCCACCCCTTTCCGCTGCATCCCTCTTTGGTGAGGCAACTGCTTTCTCATCACTAATCCTAGCAGGACGCAGCTGGTTCCACCCCATTCCTGGTCCAGTTCATCTTGTACCTGAACTTGGGCTCCTCTGGCCTCAATCTTTCCCTTATTTGATGTCTTTTCACCATCCCGGCTCCAACACAGTTCTAGTAACTCCTTTTGAAGGATAGATTTATACTGTATCTGATCCCCGCTTGTCAACTGGATCCCTTCCTTAGTTTGACTGCCTAGGTGAGAAGGCAGTGGGAGAGTCAAACCCATGACTTTTAAGTAAATGTTTCCTGGAAAGAACTGTGTCCATGGTGAACTGCTTGTACCTCAGCTCTTCCCCCAAAACCTTTTTGTTCACTTTCTTCTGCTGAAAATCAAACCCTGGCCCTATACCCCTCTAAGTAGCTAAATTTAGTTAACAATGGGAGAGGTGCCCAAACCTACCTGCAGTCCTAATTATTAACGTCAGGCTATGCCTGGCAGGCAACTGCATTTTACTGTTCCTCTTAAGTTAAACTCAACATTTGCAGGACTCTTCTGGCTTCGTAGACCCAGACTACATAAGCGACAGGGTGGGCTAGGGCAGCAAGCTGCATGACTTCAGCACCCCCTCAGCTGGAATGTTTCTCAGTGCTCTGTGTTCCCCTGGAGATGTGAGGGCTCTTATAGTGGAGCCTTATCTGCCACCATCCTGGTAGGGCTTCCAGGCTCAGTGACAAACTGCAGACCAAGAGCTACCTTCACTTTCCACCAAGTCAAACACCCCCATTTGACTCAAATTTGAAGGCACAGCTTCCCCTTGTCCAGGGTCCTGAGGAGTTCCAAGGCTCCCTCTGCTCTGCATGCTGTCGTTTTCATGGGAAAGAATGCCACGCACTGAGATGTACTAGTGCCACGCCTCCTTAACAGTATAGCACGGATATCCCAGCCGGACCCACCTACCAGACGCAGTGAGGGACAAGAGAAGCTGCGGCAGCCTTGTCTTCATATTTTGAAGCCCAGGCCATGCCCACTACATCCTTGAAATTTTGTTCTTACTGTTCTGTTCCAACAGCTTCTGTTCCATAATGCTAACTGCTGGGACAGAAGAACCACCACCCTTCCCATTCTATAGATATCATCCTGTTTCTGTCAGACATTCACGTGATAGAGCTTCTCTCTGGAGGAACCACAGGGCTGATCCGTGTCGGAAATGCCAATGGACTCCATCGCTGAAATTCTTGGGGGCTGGCACTGATGAATGGTTTCAGCTGTCAAACCTCAGAACAAATGCACTGTGGCCTTAGAAATGCCAACTGGGCAGGAAGAAATTGAACACAGTTTCTAATGCATATTTTTGTATAATTTAATAAACAGCTTTTAAAATGTTACTGCTTATGCTTGAATTTTTTGTGTTTATGCTTCTGTCCCTCTGAGTCATTGGTCTTCTTTTTGTTCCTGTTCCTATTTTTCACGTTGTGTGTTTCATAGTAGCGGACACCAACTTTTCTGGATTGTTGCTTCCGTGCTGCTCGCCTCCGCTGTAAAAACGGCAAAACAAAAAAGGCAAACCATTCAAACTCTGAAAATCACAAGACAGGCCCCTGTTTCTTTGTGCTCCATCCCCGTGCCACCTCCACAGCTACTAGAAGCAGTCAGTGCTAATGAGGGAGGGTCCATCTCCCAGACCAAGTTTGTGCTTCCACTGTGATTTGTGACAAGTCCAAGTTACAGACTCAATTGGTCCAGCCTTCATCCAATGTTTAGATCCGTTCTACTGCACCCCTGACATGTGGTCCCCTGGTCAAAGGCCAAACATTTCCGACAAGCTCTCCACCTCCTAAGAGGGCCCGTTCCAGCTCTGAAGAGCCCAGTTACAAAGCTAACTTCACAGGGAGCAGAGATCCGTCTGCCTGTAACAGCTCTGCTCACTGTGTGTCATTTCCCTGGGGCCACACAAAACCAACTGATGCTTCCAGATGATAGGCTACACTTGAGAACAAGACCTTCATCCACTGGGCCAACTCCTGATCCTATTTAACTGTCTTCAACTCTGTCACTTGGGAGTGGGGTTCTGTGAACTCCGTTCTAGGTCACTAGTTTCAGAAAGAACGCACGGTAAGAACGAGGCCCCTTCTCTCTACCTTCTATACCTGGGTGATGCGTAAGGTAAAAAAACACGTACTTCCTTAGATGTCAGCGTCTTTCGAGATTTATTTGGATGTTCCTCTTCCCTCTGTGCCTTCCTCTTCTTGCCCTTTTTGGCAGGTGCTAGAAACATCGAATATACACACACAAAAAGAAACAGGAATTTTCTATTCAAAATATGCTTATGAATCCTAAGATGGGAAGGAACTCGATACGCTGGAAGAAGGAAAAAGGCCAGAGTGAATGGAGCATGGCGAGCAAAGTGCAGAGCGCAGCAGATGAGAAGGGGAGGGCATCGGGCCAGGAGGGACCCCACAGGCCATGGCAAGGTGTGCATTTATGTCATGAAAACACACTCTTCTTGAGTTAGAAGCTGTTAGTCCAATGGAGTAAAAAATAAATGCATAAACCACCCTGCCCACCACAAAAAGTAAAATCTGCCTGCAGACCCACCCTTCAACTGTAAGGCTAATAATGTACCCTGTTGAAGAGGGTTTCCTGAATTACCAATTTAATCCTAAGAAATGGGCAGAATAAAAAGTGGATAATTCTATTTGTATTATAGATTGTGGAATCAAGGTAATTTGCCAGATGTAAATAATTGTGTAGAAGTGATGGTACAAGAGATAACTTAAAGATTTAGCTTGGATTTCCTGAAGATGCCAATCACATCTAAATGATTTAATAATTTAACTCTACCCGTATCTTCCACATCTTCTTCAGCTGTTGTTTCTTGCTCTTCAGATTTTGCAAAAACCATTTCACTGAGTCCCTTGGATATTCTGAAACAGAAAAGCAAAATGATGAAGCTGTCGGACATTCCCCTCCACTGCCCAAGCCACACGCTGACTTGAGACAGCCTTACAGGTTAAGACAGCCCACTCCTGTTCAGTTACCACCACTGGCAGGTAGAAGGCAACACGCCAGTTTCGCAGCTCCCTGAGCATTTCTAAAAAACAACAATGAAGCTTCTCATATTTTAAGGAGCTGAATTTTGAAAATCTAACAGATCACTTTTTAAAACTGTGGGCAATACCCTTTAACCCCCCATCCCCATAAACATATCACTCTAGTGCTCACGGCAAGCTTCTTGGAAGGAAAAGAGCAGACTGCAATTCGTGAGATGGAAATACCTGACTGCTGAGAACTTTTTCGCTTTGGCTTTGTTTAAAAACTTCTGATATTTAGCGATCTTTTCATCCAGGGCTTTAATCACTGCCTTGGTGTCGTTTTCCTGGTGTTCTTCCCGGGACTCTGGGTAATACTCTTCCTCCTCGCCCCCCTGTTGCGCCTGTTCCTCCTCCTCCTCCTCCTCTGCAGAGCTCTCTAGCTCCTCATCCATATCTGACATCTCCAAAGGAACCAGGTCATCCCCAGAAAACTCCGGCACGACGTTGATTTTGCCGAAGTTCTGCCGAACCCGCGCAAGGATCTGCTGCATCTCTGAGCTGGCGTCACAGGGACTGTTCACTCCTTTTTCCTTCTCGAGGACAGATTCTGACTCTTCACCTACAGTTTCTGTGATGTCCTCTTCTGGGTTGTTCTGGGTTGTTTCAGTGGCAGCTTCCAAAGATGAGGATGGAAGCTTTTCAGGCCAAAGGGTAAAAGTGGGGGAGAGAAATCAGAAAAGAAAAATGGAATTTCTGAATTTATACCTTGCTCTCAAATGAGTAGTCCTCTTCTTAGGACTAAGGGGGAGTGCTGAGAATGCCCAAATATGTGACATATCACTATCTATTTTACGCCAATGTGCAGTAAACTCAGAACCCAGCATTAAAGATCAAAGAATGATATTTGCAGTTCCAGAGGAAGGACCCACTGTAAGAGTATTTAATCATTACAACCAAACACCTTCTTACTGCTGGGTAAGACTCCCTACAACTTCCCTGAGGACTGTAAGGAATGGGTGTTGTGGAGATAAGCAGCATTCGTTTAGGAAGTAACCAGTGCTAAGGAGAGGCACTGGGGAGACATCTGAAAGGAAGGTATAAGGTGAGTTCAGAAGGAGCAGGAACATGAAAATGACGAGCCTGTTTCAGATAACGATGTAAAGAGAAGTATGTACCAGACTTTATACTGATGCTTCTCAGATGCAATATTTTATTCTTGTAACTGAAACTCACAGAACTTAAGTGATTTTCCAAAAAAAGTGCTAAATAGTTCAGAAATCTATAAAATTCAGGAAATTTTATAAAATGTATATATATATTTATGTACATTTTTCTAGCAAAGTGATTTTTTAGCTCTTGGATTCTTAAGGGGGTTTCTGCCACCACAAAGCCGGGTCTAATGAATGTCAGTTAAATGAGTCTTGGCAATGCCTCTGTTCCTGAAGCGTAGGAAAAGACACAAGTACCAGAAGAGCACTTACATTTAATAAGCCCTCTTTTTTCAAGACCCTAACGACTAGTATTTAAATTTGGTCTTCTAGCCCGGCCGGGGTGGCTCAGGGGCTGAGCATTGACTTATGAACCAGGAGGTCACAGTTTGATTCCCGGTCAGGGCACATGCCTGGGTTGTGGGCTTAATCCACAGTAGGGGGCGTACAGGAGGCAGGTGGTCAATGATTCTCTCTCATCGATGTTTCTATCTCTCTCTCCCTCTCCCTTCCTCTCTGAAATCAACAAGACAATATATTTTTAAAATTGGTCTTCTGCCATGCACCTACTTTCTGGTTTCCAAATGCCACCCCTGCAAGGTCATGGTGATGGCATTCTGGACTGGGAGACACTGCAACTGAAATACCTAGCTGGTAAAGGGGGGCAATCAAGACACCACACCTAGGCCAGTCACCATGCTTTCCAAGAGGTGGGCCCACCCTGTCCTTACCTGGGGGGCTGTGGGGGGCTCTTCAGGGGGGTCTGCATTGGGTGGCTTGACAAAGAAAGGAATGCGGCCCCTCTGCCAGTCATTGAGAACCATCTTGCCCACAGTCTGCAAGTCAGGCTCGCCGCCCTGAAATATCACAGAAAGACTCCCAATTAAATTCGAAGACCAAAACCAGCATCCAGTTTGGAGGCACATCAGCAGTTGCTCATCACCACCATCTACTTGCCACCAGGTTTCATGCTGCTCACACCTCCCCGACAAAGGAAGGTCCAGACCACATCACAGCTGCCTGCAGATGTCCCCGTCTGAAACCTCACAAACCCTGGCTCACCTTTAACAACTTCCCTGTCCGGAAAGCAAGCTTCTCAAGAAAGTCCTCGGCATTCTCCCAAGAATCAATCTTGTATGTCTTGCTGATATACTCTGGTTTTGCTCGTTCAAGTACAGCACCAATGTGGTCTTCGGGAGCCTTAATTTTTTCAACTTGAACCTAGATGTTAATAGGAAAGCTCTTGCTTACCAACCTCATTATGGGAGCAGGAAGCTCGCAGTACTGTTTGTAATAATATCTGAAAACAGATTTCAAAACCACATAGCAAGTGGGTCTTGGCAGGAGCCTGTCTCTGAGGTGGCTGGACGTGGTGGGCCAGAAGGAGCGCCACCGAAAGTCAGCCACAGCCACGGAGCCCAGGACTCAGCTTGAATCCCAGTTCACCACAAACTAACTGAGTGGCTTCGCAAGCAGTTTAAACTTGGAATGCTTCATGCTACTCACTGGCAGAAATGGTTAAAAGTCTACCAATCCCAGCACACAAGGGGAACGGAGTAGCTTGAGACAGGAGGGGAGGAATGTGCACTGGGATGTATAGCCAGCAGCACTGGTTAAGGTTAAGTGGAACCAGTTAAAGTTTTTGGTTGTATTCAGAAACAAGTGAGGAAATGACTGAGCTCCAAAATGACTCAACCCGTAAACCCACAAAGATGAATTATCACTAAACATAAACAGGCCCGACTTCCCTTCGGATCCCATGTGTAAACTACAAACTCTTTTTGTGGGATGACATTAACCAGATATGGCCATGGTTCCACTAACTCCTCAAACAGGCTTAAGGGGAATGGAGAGGGTGCCCTGTTCAGCATCATGTTCCTAAAGTTTGGTCAGACAGCTTGACCCCAAACTGTCTTCTAAAGGAGAGAAAAGCAAAGGTATCCAGTGTCCCCCACAGAACGTTTTCCCCAAAAGGCAAACCAAGAGCCTGTGAGGACCAGAGTACTTACAACTCCTTTCAGCACAATGTCTGTCTCCGAGTCCTCAGAGGGGTAAACCACGCCTGGACAGTCGATAAGGAATATCCGACGCATCAAGGTAATATACTGCCAGACCTGAGAGAGAAAAAAGCCAGAGACTTCC